TCTTAGCCGTTAGGGAATCTTAGGGGTTTAAGCATCATAGAAACCACATCCTTCTTTAAAATTAACCAAAGCTTTGAGGAAGTCGTGAGGTCTTGTGAGAATCATCCAGATACTGTTGCAGGCATTTCACTGAACCAGTTGAGTTGAAGCCTGACTGAGATTGCCCGTCCTTCTCCCGTGGTGCACCTGGTGGATTTGAACTGCGCACTTTCAGGATTTCAGCGCAGCTTCTTACCATTAGGCCGCCAAGAGCTCCCTGCTGTTAAGTCACTTCCAACTCATGAGACCCTCATGTACGACATTGAAGTGTTGCCCTTTCCTACTTCATCTTCATGACGTTGTTAATATGTTCAAGTCTGGCTTTATGGCCATCGTGTCAGCCCATTTCATTGAAGGGTTAGTTGTTGTGTTGGGATTCATCAACTTGACTGTACCGCGTGGCCCCCTCACTCATAAAAGAACAAAATGTTGCCCAGTCTTTTTACGCTCGACATTAGTATATTCATTGTTGCAGTCCTTCTGCCAGTCTGTTGCAGGGAAGGTCTAGTTGATGTATTGTTGTTAACCACTGTTGAGTCTGATTCGTTTCATGGTCTCCCGGAGATGTAACAGAACAAAGTGCCGCTCCGTGCTTGATTCTCGGTGGTCGCCATGATACCAGTAGTATTTCCACTGTGTCAGTCCATGTGGCCGCGGGCTTGGCTGCTGTGCAGTGAGGAGTCACTGTTGAGTGAGCTCCAACTCAAGTTTGCCCCAGTGAGGTGTTGGCAGGCGCTGCATCATCTTCATAACCTCCGTTAGCTTTTCTGTGGTGGTTTTAGTTCATTCTGATGACCATTGCATCGCGCCTTTTCACTGCGGGTTTCTGAGCCTTATTCAGCGGGATGAACGAGGCCAGCTCATCACAGATGGGGCTTGACCCGTGACTCAGACCCGCAGCCAGTGCAGACCACCTGGGAGCTTGTTAGAGATGCAGATCTAGGCTCCCTGCCACCGCTGCTCATCTTGCTGCAGGTTCAAGGTCAAGGAACACTCAGTTGCTGTTCTTCGCTCAGGCTCTGGACCTGATCTGGGGACTAGAATATTCCACCAGTCTTCTCATCCAGACTTGGAAGCTAAGTGAGGTTTACTGGGTGAGAATAAAGTCACCCAGCAATGTGGATGCACTGCCCTGACCCAATCTTAGACAGCATGCCACCTCCCATGCCCCCGGTTGTATGACCTTGGGGTTCCAGCCCTGAATTTGAGAGTAAGTGGGGAGGAGCCTGCCAGTTCAATATTTGTTCCAAGTAGGGCTCAGGGAAAAGGGCCAGTGTGGATGATTTATTCTGTAATATCACCAGAAGTGCAGGTTCTATATGTAATTCTGTAATCATGGTGTTACTCTGTCCAAGTTACTGTGACGGTAACTTCCTAGTGGCCCCATCAGCTCCCTCGGCCTGCATGACCGATATTTCTTTCCTTGTTAAGGAGCAGAGAGCTCTCCCTTTCCAGCCCTTTGTGATCACCAGCGGTGCTTGCTCCTCCCCTCTGGACGCCCCAAATGCTATTTATCAAAACGTGAAGAAATACAACGGTTCCCAAATGGTACTAGACCAATTTAGTATTGGATCTCATAAGACTGCAAGGAAAACATTTTTCCTTGCAGAAATGAGGTTTCATTTTCTTCCCTGAGTTTGTTGGTGAAAGGAAAAAAGAGCTTATCTAAAGTGTGTTTCATACTGTTACTGTAATATCCAAGAAGAATTTCATCTGAGAAGGATGATGACAAGTGTCTTAGAGTGATGAATGTGATACATCCTATCCCCACCAGGCTGGGGACCTGTTTCCTTCTGTCTTAGTCAGAGCTCACTAGGGAAACAGGGCTGTCGAGACACAGGTAGGTAGGGTAGGTAGGTGGATAGGTAGGTAGGTAGGTGGAAAGGTAGGTAGGTAGGTAGGTAGGTAGGTAGGTAGGTAGGTTGGTTGGTTGGTTGGTAAGTAGGTAGGTAGATAAAGAAAATGCGAACTCAGTGCCATCAAGTCAGAACCAACTTAGAGCTGAGCCTCCAGCAGGTTTTCAAGGGACTCTTCTCCCGTGGAGAAAATCTCCCATTTTTCTCACTTGGAACCACTAGTAGATTGGAAGTGCCAGCAAAGTGCTGTCTTTTGGTTAGCAGTGGAACTCCTCATGGATTACACCACCTGATCAATAGATCTATATGTAGAAAACTAAATATTGATCTACTTCAAGGAAATAGATCACACAGTTGTGGGGGATTGCAAGTCTGAAACCTGTAGTCCAGGTGGCACACTGCAAGTGCCTGGAGTCTTGTGTCCCAAGGTTCATAGATAAGGTGGCAAAATGAGTACATAGTTGAGAGAGAGGGAGTCCCACCCAAATATTTATTTTATAGCCTAGTGATAGACCACCCCCTGAGGAACACCCTTTAACTGTTTGCTTACATTGCGTTAGATACATTGTGAAGATGATTGCATTGCATTACATCCTGGAAAGTAGTTACATTACATTATGGAAAGTCATTATGTTATATTATGCTACAGTATGTAACAGCAACTGGTCTATATTTGACTAGAGCAACTGGTTCAGGGTTTGACACTGCTACTGGGGAGCATTCCCAGCCAAGCAGACACATAGAATTATCCATAATAATTTCTGTAATGAGGTTGGCCGGGAACGTGTTCGTACACTCTAAGGGATTTTCCACAGCCTCTACATCCTCTCCCACCTCCCTTGGTCTGGTTTCCTCCTTTTCCAGATCTCAACACCGCAGTGCTTTCAGGCTGTCATTACCACATGTTTCCCTCAAATGAGACTTCTGGAAGTTTCTTGTTCATCCAGTTCTTTCTTTGCTATATCCTTGCTCCACAGGATCACCTGACTGACCCCATCAGGAACCTCCTGATGTCTAGACCCATGGCTCATTCTCAGCTCTTACTCTGTCTAGTGCATCTCACTCCATAGACATGGGATGCCAGATAGCCCTTGGAGCACAGGGATCATTCCTTGCATCCTTGTTGTTAACGCCTTTGACTCTGACCCCTGTTGACCTGATGTATACCAGAAGGAATTGCTGTAGTGCCTCACAGTGTGGGATGTTTGAGTCCCCTGTTGTAACCACGGAGTCAGTCCATCTCCTGGTGGGCTTTCCGCATTTTCTGTCCCTTTAGTGTACCGAACATGATGTCTCTTCCTCGATGCCTTTTCCAGATATGATTGATTTTTTCCCAATGACATGTCCACGGTAAACAAGGTGGCATTTCCCTCTCCTCTGAAAACCCGCCGGAGTGTCAGCTGTGGGTCGGTTCTGACTCGAAGGTACGCAATAACATTGGTATTAGAGGAAGACTGATTATCATCAGAAACCACTTGTGGTGGGTGTATACTAAAGGCTGTATGTCCAGCGGCTCCTCTGTGCTTTACATCCGGATTGTCGTCAGAGGCCGTCGAATCCACTCTGTCTCTGTCGTAACCACAATCCTGCTAACGAGAGGTGAAGCCGCCCCGCCTGACTCGCACCATCCTCACAGACATGCCTGAGCTCGAGCCCCTGGGAGCAGACACGGTGCCACACTCCATCTCGTCGAGGGGCTTCCGGTTTCTCCCTGACCAGCTGCACTCTTCCAACCTTGATGCCCTTCTCCAGGAACCAGCTTCCCCTGAGGGCGTGTCCAGACTCCCCCAGGTGAAGGTCACTGTCCCCACTTCTCCAGAGCTGTAGCCTTGCTGGCCGTGTTCAGACCTTGATGGCGTGACATCTGCACCATGTTGACAGTTCTGGTCCCCAACAGACCGATGTCCTGTCACGTGCCCAGCGCAACCCTGCTACATTTATTTGCACTTGGCACATGTTTGTGGGTCCAGGCCCCAAGACTCACAGGATCCACTCTCCAAGCATAGAATGTTTGTGGCAACCCTGCGTCCGGTTTATCTCTTGGCACCATTCTTCCAACAGCATGTGCTCATCATTTCCTGTGTTTCTGTCACCTTTTGCTCATTCTCATGATATTTTCCACTTTTCACTCCGTAGACAACGGTGGAGGGTTAACATAACTGCACTAGAAAGCCCACAATATCGTGTAACTCACTTTATTATAACGTGGTGACTTTATTATAACGTGGTGTCTGAGAACAAACTCATATTATCTCTGAGGTCTGCCTGCACGTGTACACTGTCAGAACACAATGTGCCCTAGAAGTCAGTCTTGTCTCTTCTCCTAAAACTGTGGTCGAAACACTCCATAAGTGCTTGTCCCAGGGCTCTGGTGGTGCAGCAGCTAGGCACTCCCCTGCTAAAGGAAAGGTGTGTTGTTGTTGTTTGCCTTCGAGTTGAGCACGACTCACAGTGACCTTGTGAACAGAAGGCCTGAAGCCCCTTGACAACTATCAATGTTTATCAAAGTCCAGAGAGTTCCCGGAGGCATGTTGTGGTAGACGGTTCAAATGCGCCTGTTGATTCCACAGGAGAAAAGGTGCGGCAGTCTGGTCCTGCCAAGATGACAGCCTAGGAAATCCTTCGGCTCAGTTGTGTCCCTCACTGGGGCTCGCCATCGGCCGGGATTGACGTGACATCATACAAGAACATTCATAACATCACCCTTTGGTTTGTGGCTCAACATTTAGCACCTTCACACGTAGCGCTGCTACGTGTGGCTTCCAAGGCTTCAGAGCTTTGCAGAACAGACTCCTTCATCTTCTGCCTGTGGATCAGGGGCTTTGAACCACTGGCCTTTTGGTTGGCAGCCCAACATTTAACTAGCGCTCTGCAACGTGAGTGCACGGAAGCAGGTCACCAGGCTTGTCTCCTGAGGCTCCTCGGGTGGGTTTGATCCTCCACAGGTTAGTTAGAGTCTGAGCCCGGTTGTCATCCGTTCTTCCGGCTCCGAGCTTCCTGCGCAGCTGCAGGTGCCTCCCCACCCCCACCCCCCGCCCCGGCAGGCTGGGCCACACGCAACCTGACAGGTGTGCTCACCACCTTCCTGTGTCTTGTCGTCCACAGAGGAACTGAAGGGGCCGCTGGAGGAGTACGTGCACAAGCGCTACCCCGGGCTGGTGAAGGTGGTACGCAATCAGAAGAGGGAGGGCCTGATCCGGGCCCGCATCGAGGGCTGGAAGGCTGCCACGGGCCAGGTCACCGGCTTCTTTGATGCCCACGTGGAATTCACTGCTGGCTGGTAGGTGATGAGTGGGGACTCAGGGCCACGTGGCTCTTACCAGGTGGTTAGGGCATGGGGGGGCTGCAGTCTGGGAGGGAGACCCCTTTACCTGGTTCTTCAGAGTGGAGGACAAAGGTTTGGGCTAAAGAGGCAGGTGGGACTGTGTTGGGAGAAAACAAGGGAGAAGGAGAAATTTCTCAGCTGTCCACTCAGACCATCATCATCATCCATGAAAATGGCAAGCAGTAAACCCCATGACTGTGGGACCTGCACAGACCCGTCAGAGGAGGAGAAGGCAGTTGGTTTCTGAAAGGATGGTGATCCGTGCCCTTGTATCCCGTGGGCGTGCTATCAAGTCAGGCCAGTGCTTGGAAGAGCGGAGGCTCCGTGTCAGAGAGGAAGACCCTCGAAGGGGTAGACTGATGGTGAAGTGGGGGCACCAGCAGCCTTATGCCCAGCGGAGACTCTGAGGGCGCTGCCGGATCGGGAAAGGTTTCTAACTGTTGAACCTAAGATTGCCGTGAGTTGAAGTCAACTCAGTGACACCCAACAACAACAGGGAGCCATGGAAAAGTGGTCAGGCTGCACCCTGTCCCAGCAGGAGACTTGCAAGATTCCCTGAAACCGGGGCGTGCTGCTGGACCCGGCTAGACCACAAACTCAGAACTTATTATCCCTTAGAGCCAACTCCTAGCTGACCCTCGGCCGCTCCCCAGGCGGTCAGTCACCCTGGGGCGCCGGGTGGGAGAGGAGGTCACTCCTCTTTCTCCAGAGGGTCCACCAGGCACAGTCTTTGAGCTAGAAGTGCAGCTCCCTAGGCTCTAGGCCGCCAAACTCCAACGTTATAGTGCAGTGGGTTACAGTACAGTGTAAGCTCAACACCATATACATTGGGAAGTAAAAGGATGTGAGCCACTTTACTGTGGTGTCTAGGACATCACCAAGGGATACCTGTATAGAAGGAGAGAAATAGACACACAGACACACACCGGGGCAAGACAGACACCACATGAGAGTCTGGTACAAGTGAAGGAATGCCACCGATTACCTGCAGATGCCAGAATCAGGAGATAAAATGAAGGACAGACAGACAGAAAGAATGGACACAGCACCTCCCAACAGCAGCAGAATTATTAGCTCTTGAGGAAAACATATCCAAGAAGTAGCGTGTAGTCAGTGAAAGGAATGTGAGGGAAGCAGGTGGACGAGTTTAGAAGAGGGTGGGATACTGAGGGAATTCCAGAAGGCGTGTGGGGAGAGGCCGCTGGAGGACGGGAGCAGGGGTGAGACCTGGGGAGGGGAAACCCCAGAGCAGCTCCGGGAAGCTGTGCAGAGCCGGTGCCCTTGGCTGAGCCTGGCCGGTGTGTGCAGCAGGATCAGCGGCCATAATGGCCCAGCGAGTATTTTATGGCTCGTTTTAAATAGAAGGATGAGATGAGCCAACAGGTAATTCAGTCGCTGCAAATGAAAAGAGACGGGCTGTGGGCCGAGCACGCTCATTCTTCTTCCAAATAATGCGGAGAAATGGGATTTCCGCTTGACTCTTTGCCAAAGCTGCCCCCCACTCTAGGCAGAGAGATTAATACCCTGGCTTCTGCGAGCCATCCTTCCCTTCCCAGATCGGAGACATAACCCCGACCGGCTCAGCCTGGGAGATGCACGCTGGGGAGTCAGCAAGCCGGGCAGGGAATCAGCAGCCTGAGGTCTCCAAACCCCACAGAGCTGGGCCTGGAGGGAGGCAGGGTTGTCTGAGGCCCCTGGTGAGGGTGAGGTGAGGGTGGGCATGGGGGTGGGGGGGTGCTGGCTGGGAGGACCCTCTTGCCGCCGCATTTAATAAGCTCCCAGCCTTCTCTCTCAACCAATTCAATTAGCTGCTTTTTGAGAAATCAATTAAATAATCAATTAAAACAACAGAAATAGTCATACACGCAAAGGAGCCAGTGAGCTGCCTATTAAACCAGGGCCATCAGGGCCAGCAGTGACCTATTTCAGAGAAGGGAGTTGGGAGCCGGCAGAAAAGGAAAAAGGTAAAGGCCTCGGTCATTGGCCCCAAAGGAAACTTAAAACATGCCAGAAACGTCTACAGATGCCTCTCAATGCAAATCATGAGATGTGGGTACGGGGAACAGCTTTGCTTCTGCAGTGTGCTTAGATAGAAAGGAGCCTGGCACATGTTGGGTTGATAACCAGAAGTTCAGGGGTTCAAATCTCCCTCCACAGGAGAAGGATGAGGCAATCTTTGCTTACGTCTGTATAAGCCTGGGACACCTGGTGGGGGTTGCTGTGACCAGCTTGCAGGTGGTGGGGTTGGTGTTTTGGGGTTACCACTGTCTGGAGGTGAGCCCTGCTGTTGGAGAAGAGTCCTGAAAGTCCCATGGACTGCCAGAAGACCAAACATATGTCTTAGAAAAGGTGCAGCCGGAGTGTCCCTGGGGGGCAAGGATGGCACAGCTGTGTCCACCTGCTTTAGGCATGTTGCTTGGACAGGGACGTCACGCTTGGAAAGGTGGAGGGTTGGTGAGAGAAGATTCTGTATGGATGGATTGACAGTGACCGCAGTCGTAGGCTCCAGTGTGACAGGTGATGAAGACGGCCCAGGACAGGACAGGGTTCAGACTGTTGGTCATACGGTCACTTGGAGTCTTGCTCACCTCCATGACACCTCACCACCTGGAGGTGGGTACTTTGTGACTTCTGGGTCTGAGGCTGGCATCACACGAAGATTCTGGAAGAGTGAGGGTATGAGCAGCTCTGGGTGACTGAGGTCCTCAACATTTATTTGCTTTAAGCTGCATGGTGCCATATTGGGGAGCGGGGGCCCTGCAGTCCCTCAGCTCTGGGAAACCTCAGTTTCTACTGGAGTCTAAGACTTCTCAGAGCCCAACTAAACTTTCTAGTGCCCCATAACAGCATAGCACTAGCAGATAACTTTGAAGAACACGAGTATATTGTCTCAGAGTTTCCAAGGCTAGAAGTCCTGATCAGGTTCAAGTCCACCCTGAGATACTTTAGAAGGAAGACCTGGTGATTGTAGAGCACATTTCTGCTAACTCCTGGGGGGGCTGCATGAATCAGAATAGACTCAACAACTGGGTTGTTTTTAAACAGGCTTTAAATTCCAGCCAGAACACTAACCTTGAGCAGTTTTGTGTCTGTTTTGTTCCGTGCCAGCTGAGCAAAGTGCAGGCTTCTGGCGAGAGGGATGATGTCCGTTTCTCTGTTTCAGGGCTGAGCCTGTCCTGTCCCGCATCCAGGAGAACAGGAAGCGGGTGATCCTGCCCTCCATCGACAACATCAAGCAGGACAACTTTGAGGTGCAGCGGTATGAGAACTCCGCTCACGGGTACAGCTGGGAGCTGTGGTGCATGTACATCAGCCCCCCGAAAGACTGGTGGGATGCCGGAGACCCTTCTCTCCCCATCAGGTCTGTACCATACAAGGCTGGAGGCCTGTCTGTCCGAGAACTGGGACAAGGGGACACCACCTCGTGGGGGAGCCTGGGAGGGTGCGCCAGGGAATAATCCACTGCCGCCTCTGTCGAGTTGACGCCAACTCATGGTGAAACTGAGGGACAGTGTGGAAGTACCGCAGAGAGTTCCTGAGGCTGCAGATCCTCACGGGGGCGGGCTGCCGCTCCTCTCTCTCGTGATGCTGACTCCAGGCTTTGAACCACCGACTTTTCGGTTAGCAGCCTAATGCTTCATCCATTTTGCCACCAGCTCCTTTATGCAGGGGTCTGCCTTGCTGAGGAAAGATGCTGGACTTTTGCCTCCAAGCTAATATTTGAGTTCAGCTCATCAAAAGTCTCTCTGGAGACTAAGGTGTGCCTGATACAGGCCATGGTCTTTGCAATCACTTGTTATGCATCAGGGAGGTGGACAATGACTAGAGAGGATAGAAGGAGAATTGACGCCTTTGAGCTGTGGTGCTGGAGAAGAGTATTGAATGTACCATGGTACCATGGACTGCCAAGAAAACAAAACAGATTCATCGTAGAGAGGATTAAACCAGGCTGCTCCTTGGAGGCAAGGATTCTGGGGCTTCGTCTGACATACTTTGGACATGTTGTAAGGAGAGACAGGTATTTAGAGAGGGACATCATGCTGGGTAGAGTGGAGGGACAGCGCAGAAGGGGAAGACCCTCTATGAGGTGGATTGATTCAGTGACTGGGGTAATCGGGATGGGTGTGTCAGAGGCAATGAGATTGGCACAGGATAGAGCACGGTTTAGGGCTGTTGTACATTGGGTCGCTATGAGTCGCAAACGACTTGACGGCACATAACAACAACAAACATCAAAATTAGAACATTTCAAAGTTAGTAATAATGTTCACTCTTGTATTGTCTCGCATAAGTGGACCACCGTGAGTCAGGATCGACTTGATGTCACTGGGTTTAGTTTGGGGCTTGTATATGGAGGAGCTGTGTTGGGGAGTCCCAGTGTCAAGTTCAAAATGCAGCTTTCCTCCAGAGAAGCCAGCTTGTCTACCTGTTTATTCCATGACTGCTTGCCCTGAGCAGACAGTGCCTTTCAGGATCTGTTTTTGGAGGTTTATTACGTATGTCTGGTTCTCCATCCCAACAGTTAAATGAAGATCTAAATAAAATGCTAGGTTCTACCTTTAAAAGAAAAGGAGCTTTCCTTGGGGATCCCTGTGAGTCAGCTCCAGTTGCCATGGTGGGGACCTGTGAGGTTTCCTTCTGGAATGATCCACAGTCGTGATCTTTCGCTTCAGGAGGCCCCCGTGACACAGTGCTCAGTCTCGCTCACTCTCATTGTCGAGTCTGAACTAACATCTAGTTGACCTTGCACTGGGTTTCTGAAGTTCTAAGTCACGTGAGAGGAGATTGCTCATCTTCCGTCCAAGGAATCCTGGTGGATTCAAACCACCAGACAGGCGTGGCCTTTCTCCTAACCTTGCAGCACCCTACAAATGACACTGCGTCTTATATGTGAAATCTGTGACCGTGATTCAGGGAGGCGCCTTTCAGCCCTGCGCTGATGGTTCCCCTCATTCCAGAGGGGCTGGTCGTCTGTCAGTAGGTCCTGGAATCGGGAACAGGAGCCCAACGACTTTGCTCTACTTCTGTTCTCTTATGTTGAGTCTCTTTCCTTTCCTTTTACAATTGTTCATTCGTTTTCCCGTCTTGTTAGTTGATGTTGCTGGGATTTGGATCAGGATCATATCTGTAATCCTTCTTGTGTCCTATGGACATTTTCTCAATGTTGAGTCCCTCTCCACGAGCATGGAGTGTTTTAATAAGATCTCCTGGTGATGGTGTAAGACGCATACGTAAGAATCACCTGGGGATCTTGTTAAAATGTAGATTCTGATTCTCTGATTCGGCATCTCTAGGGCAGAAATGCACGTTCTTAGCAGGGTGGTGAACCAGTTGCCTCCCTCTGGTAAGGACCCTAAATTGCATTTAGGGTCTCACTAGATGCTTCAAGACAGTCTTCTACTCTCAAAATGCGTCATATCTGCAAGTTCCTTCTCCCAGTTCCAGTAGCATTGACAGGTCCTAGCAGCTGTGGTTGTGTCCTGTAGAGTCAGAACCGACCCACAGCCAACCCTCCTGCAAGTTTGTAAAGACAGCAAATTGCACAGGAGGAGAGGACTCGCCTTTCTCCAGCAGAGCAGCTGGTGGATTCAAATCCTGTACCTTTGGGTTGGCAGCACAGCTCCTCAGCACCGAGCCAACAGAGGGAGAGCCCTCTTGAGATTGGGATGTGGCTGTTGTTAGTGTTGTTAGTGGTCAGGTGCCACCAAGTTGACTGTGACTCATTGCTACTCTCTGAACCTCCCCTGCCCTGTCTGTCCTCTCAGTCTCTGACACTCAAGCCCATTGTTACAGTCACTGTTGGTCTATCCTGTTGACAGTCTTCCTCCCTCTCAGACACCTTCACCCTTCTCAGCATGAATTTTTCTAATGTTTGGCTCCTCAATATCATAAGGAGAATTATTACTAAGCAGCTGCTCTGATTGAACTAATTGATACTGGAGTTACATTTCAATACTGAGCTTACATGGATCCTCTGTAAGGGCTAGGCTTAGTCTTAAAATGGTCTTTTTCTATCGTAAATCAGAACACGATGCCTTTCTCCAAGGACTGGTTCCTCCTGGCAGTGTGCCCCATGTATGTGAGATGGAGCTTCATAACCCTTGCCTCCAAGGTACAGCTTGTTTTCATTCTCTCCAGGACAGAGCTGTTTGTTCTCTTGGGCTTCCACAGTATGTTCAGTACTCTTCTCTAGCACAACTCAAAGGCATCAATTCTTCTATTATTTTTAGTCACATGCTCTCTGATGCAGAGCAAGTAATTGTGAAGACCATGGCTTGGATCAGGTACACCTTAGTCTCTAGACTGGCAGCGTTGCTCTTCAGTACTCTAGAGAGGGACATTATGCTTGGAAGGGTGGAGGGACAGACAAGAGAGGAAGACCCTGGGTGAGTGGATTGACTCAGTAACTGGGGTAGTGGGGCTAGGTGTGTCGGAGACTTTGAAATTGGCTTAAGATAGGATGGGACTCCAAGCTATTGTATGTAGGGGTCACTATGTGTCTCAGGCACCTCAACAGCACATAACAGCAATAACATCTTAAATCAGAAGAGACAGACAAAGAACAGAGTCTCTGCCTCATTTGAGGGCAGTGTCTGTTGGTCTAGAGTGCAAGAAGGAACTGTGACAGAGAAGTGAGGATTTCTGACAGGTGGAGACCTTACTTTCTCAGTTTATCTAGTTTTGTAAACAAAACTGAAAACCAGACTCAAGGCTGCACAGTCGATTCTGAGTCCTCGGGCTCCTTGAAAACCGAGTGGGCTGCTCCAAGAGTCTCCAAGGCTGGGCAGCTTTTTGGAAGCAGACTGCTTATTGTTCTCTCAAGGAACAGCCCGTGGGTTCAAACCACCGACCTGCCAGTGGTCAGATGATTTAACCACTGCACCCCCGCCACTCTTTGGTAATCAGCAGTTGTTTTTGTTCAGACTGAAAACTGGAGAATTGTTCAGGTTTGTGCATGGACTAACTCGTAGAGAATTTCACCTCATAGAAGGTGAACTTTGGGATGCTGCCTGAGTAGTGCAAATGGTTAGTTAAGTCCTTGACTGGTGACAAGAAGGCTGGGAGTTAAAACCCACCCAAGATGCCTCTGAAGCAAGACCTGGAGATCTGCTTCTGAGCAGTCAAGGTCACAAAGACCGTCTGGAACCCAGGTCTGCCCTGCACACGTAGGGCAGCCAGCCTTGAGTCAGAATCGACTTGAGGGAAATCAGTCCAGGATTTTAACCTTTCCATCTTCTAACTCCGTTGGCTGGAGCCGTCTGGTGTCATTAGTTCCCATTCCCCACCTAGACACCTAATCTGCTGGGCAACAGAGTCTCGTCTCTTTAGGACTCATAAGGTGTGCTCACGGCTGAGCTCTTGCCTGATAAACAAGGCATAACCTTCAGAAATATTTGAACTTGAACAAGGAGTGTTTTAGGACCCCCTGGCCTTCGAAACACGAAAAATGCAGCTCAAAGAATGGGCTGAAAGTGAGGTGTGTAATTTTGGCCAAATAAGGATTCCTCCAGAACATCTGGGAGGCCGACCCACAGGTAACCGACTTGACAGCAGTGGGGTTGGTTTTATGAAGTGAGTATTTTGCCTACATTTAACTGGCTACAGTACTATTAACAGATGCTTAATTTGCACTTTTTAAAGGCTCGAGAAAATAGAGTTGTGATCATGAGTCATTAATATCGTGTGCCTCTCGAATGTGAAAAATAGACTGAAACGCCAATGATCGCTTTTTAATGTGTTGTAACTTACAAAATGCATAATCAGTTAATAGTTGTGGGGACACATAATTGTAGGAAGGCATTTATGGTCCTGATTATCATCAAGCAGATACAATATGACTTCTTAAATCATTAGGGTGTGGTGACTCCTCCCCTCCCTCTAGTGATGCCAGTATATTAATAGTAATAATTTTATTCTGGTGAAGGACTGGGAGGGTGAGGAAAATGTTTTCATAATCTTATGTTACGAAAATAAAACCAGATTAGATGAATGTTTAGGTGTTGAGACTTCCTTGCAGACAAAATAATATGGGTGGTTTTGCATGAAGGAAATGTCTCGTCTTTCTGTTTTCGTTCTTTCTCTGTTTCTTCATATCAGAATCGAAATTCATTGTCATCAAGCCAGGTCCGAGTCATGAGAGCCCCCGCTACAGGTGAAGCATCGACCTGCCCCAGGGTTTCACTGGGTGTCACCTTGTGAAAGATGGTTACTGGGCTTTTTTCCTTTGTGGTGCCACTGCCTGGGTTTGCACCACAACCGTTATGTTAGTAGCCAGATGTAAACTGCTTATGGCATCTTTGTTCTAAGTGGCTGTTTCCCAAAGTTTGCTGTTCATCCTTGGTGCTTCCTTGTCTGCCCCAG